AAGAGCGTCTGCAGGAGGAGCTCAGCAGCAACCCGCTGCATCTCTGTCTCCCCTGGGTTTCCGACCAGGAGCTGGGCCAAGAAGGGATTTGGGGGTGAACAAGGGGACTTGGTGGAGTCGTGCCCAATTGACAGATCCCAAACTTCCCATTCCAGAGCATCCCCCGGCTGGAGCAGCTGGCAGCACACGAGGGACCACGTTTGAGGGCCAGGAGACCTCTTCCTCAAAACCTGCCCTTTTGCCTTCGGTTCTTCCCAAAGCCAAGATGCATTCTGGGGGCACGGGGTTCCTCTCCGCCGGTGGAAGGAGGGTGGGCTGGGCCCCTCGGGGGGCAGCACCGGACCCTTCTGCACCTCACAGCCCTCTCTTTGCTCTTGCAGCGGTTTAGTCCCTCACGTCCTGGGGGATGTCATCTTCCTCTGGTGCTGCAACCTCCTGGCTCACTTCATCAACACCTACGCAGTGGACGATAACGTGAGTGGAGGTGCCCGGCGGAGGGGTTGGGGGTGGCCCTGTACCAAACACCTGCAGCTGGAAGGAGTTAGTGGGAAGTGGGGGCTGATTTAGTGCAGACAGACACGGGGCTTCGGATAAAGCCCTGTAAAAGCGCTCAAGATGCTGGGTCTGCTCAGCGTTTCAGCTGCCGTTCAGGGCATCAGGTTTGATAGCAAATGCCCTCCCTGGCCCTCGGCTGGGGCGCAGCGCTGTTACCATTGCTCTCTGCCTTCTGCCCCGCGCCCGTCGTCTCGGGATGTCACGTAACGACATCCTCATCCACCTCCTCCACAATCCCTGTGCTTTCTCTTTCCAGTTCAGCCAGGCGTCGGTGATCCGGAGCTACACAAAATTTGTGATGGGGGTACGTAAGCAGCCACCACGTCGTTTCTCCTCTTCCTGCCACCTGTGGGGTGAGAGCTCGTGGTCTGGGGGCAGAGGCTGGTCTGTACCTTATATCCAAATGAGGGTAACTTGGCTAACACGCAGAAGCTGGAAATAGCTTTTTTTGACACGACACGCGTTAGCGAGGCTCCCGGTTTTCTGTCCTTTCAGATTGCTGTGAGCATGCTGACGTACCCCTTCCTTCTCGTGGGAGACCTCATGGCAGTGAACAACTGTGGGTACGTCCGTCACACTGAGATCTGAGGCTTTCCCGGCCTTTATTCCCGCCCCTTGGTGTCCGAGTCCTCTGCTAACGATCGTAAAACTTTCCTGGGGAACCGTAAACTCTACGGCACCTCGCGGAGTTGGCTCGGTTCCTGTCCCAGGTTGCTTGTAATTTTAGATCAGAGGGCACAGACGAGCAGCGTAAAAGCTCAAGTGGGGAGAAATGGGGCGAGTCGTGGCGGTGCGGGCCGAGCTGGGCTAGGCCGGAGGCAGAGGGATCAAAGGGACCGTGCTGGCTCCGGGGAGTAGCACAAGAGCTCGTAAGGCGGTGATGGGTGCGGGCAGGAGCAGGACCAGGCTTGCTTTCCCGTTCCCACGGCTGCGCGGAGCCCTCTGTGTGTGTGCTCGCGGGAAGGGGACGGGATGCAAGCTGCTGGTGGCCTGTCTCGCTGTCTGCTCCCTCTCCAAGGCACAGGCAGCAGAGTCCTGCACTCGTAACGTATCCAGGTAACGCTCCTTGCTTTACACTC